TGACTGGAGGTGACATGTCTGTGTGAAATATCCTGTAAACTTGATTCTTCTTTCCAACAACTATGAGGAGTATTTTTTTCTTGGATAAAATTAAAAGATGGGTGATTATGAAACTGTGAATGTTATTGTCAGTATCAGAATTTACTTTCAGGACTGTTTGGTGAATATGTTGAGTGCAGGTTTTTAAAGCCGGCAAGAAATGAGTGGACTGCCAATGAGTCCACAGTCCCTTTCCTCCCTTTTCACTTCTTTTTTTCTCTTTCACATGAACAAAATTTACGAGGCCATTACGACTTGTGGATGCAGTGTCAACAGTGGCCAGCTAATATCTTTATCCAGCACGCTGAGGAAGAGGAGGAAGGGGGGGGGCTGTCAGACGCTGCCCTGGAGACAAACTGCCCTCCGAGTTCGTCCACAGTTGTGCACACATGTTTACAATGGACACGGCTCAGCATCCAAAACACATCCGCCTGCCAGTTTAGAGAAGCAACAGAAGAAATTAATTCGATGAGAAAAAACATTGTTCATCATGGGAGGAAATAAAAACCTGGTGCAAGACTGGGAGACACTAAATGAATTCTGTGGTCACACAAATAGGCTTCTGTTGTATTATAATCAGGCAGGTTGCTTATATAGTTGCTAGTGAACCTTCTTTAAAGAATAGATATGACTATATTCTGCAATGTATCTCAATAACCCTTTTTTTAGATTCAGATTTATACACTCCCTATAATTCTATCTGGACATGTTTATAACATGTATCACTCTCACACATGATATCCTTGCTTTTGAGTTAATTTGCTCCACCACTCTGCTCTTTTTTTCATCATCACCATCCTTAACGAAAAAATGTCACCCCTGATGAATTTTGTCATGGTTTACCAGGAAGAGATGGGGGGAAAGAACAGGCTCAAAGTAAAAACCAGCCTTCAGGTTTCTAACAAATGGGTTGTTTTAAAGGCCAGTTAATCAGCTAAAGTCACACTGTGAATGGGGCTTGACAGAGGCAATACAGAGTGCAAGCACACATCCAACAGCAAACAAGAGCATGACAATAGAAAAAAGCAAAGCATGGATGATAAGATGAGGTCATAGATTTAGAAGAAAAATGCCCGACTGGGAAGCCGGTCGTGAGGATCATTTGGCTGGGGACAACTGAAACCTGGGGCCTGTGTGTATATATACAAGGTAAACCATGATCACACACAGGTGTTTACGGTGGGAACCAGAACAAATAAAGGAAGTAAAATATTAAAAGTAAACACCGACAGTGGCTTGTCCAAATAAGAGAGAACCATTTATAAAAGTCCATGAGAACCATCACAAATTCTTCCTGGCAAAGAGAGTTAAAAGGAGAATTTTCCTCCCCTCTGTTACCGTAATTCCTGCTCCATGAGATCCAGGCTTTTGTAGAGGATCTTTTTAGCATTTACTGTTGATCTATCAGCTAAGCCTTTAGAACGTTAACCTATTTAAAGTTAAAAAAAAACAAGAAGAACAATATGTGGTCAATGGAGAGAGAGAAAATAAATTGTTTACCACGTGAATTTAGCCACCCCAAGCTTTGATTGGATCTCCCACCAAACAACATCATTACAAACACCACAGGCTTTTGTCCCTCTTTTCTCCGATCCATCTGCTGCCAGAGCCACACTGCAGCAGCGCCGCTATCCTGCACCCGGCACCAGCCTGTTCCACACGGGGCCGTTTAACACGGCACAGCAGGGGCAACATTAGCTCTCATTATGCTCAGCAACTCATTACAGCTCACTGCGGGGTGATGCTGACCCAGGGACTGGGTCTGGAGCACATCCTCTCCCAGTGATACTTGCCAGTGAAAGCCAGTTCACGGCTGAACCATACAGCAGCAGAACGGTGCTGCTGTTGAGCGGTGTGCGGAGTTAGAGCAATACCATTATCTGCCCCATGAACACAGCCATGTTTTGTTTTTTAATCTTTTATGCAAAACCTGCCCTTCAAATAGAGGAAAATTCATCTGAGGGGTCTATCATTATCAGACTGCCCTCTAAATAACACACGGATGATGTAGGACGGAGGTGATGATGAGTTGACCACACTACCTGTCCATCCGTTTTCTGCCTCTCAGCTGGAACCCAATCAGAGGCAGAGATCCCCTGACCTTCTCTTCTGTCACTTCCACCAGCTCGTCTGAGGTGACAAACGTGTCACAGAGACAGTGATTGAATATCTTTTGTATCATATGTTATCGCTTTCATCATTTTATCTGATTTGACACGTTTAACCACAGCTGATGATGGGATGTTATTATGAAAATTTAAACTCTTGTGTCCCCGATTTATTCATACATCTACGGTTGGAATCTCAAAGCACGGCTGGATGAAGTTTAGGGAACTGGTAGCGTCTGCTGTACACTGGGATTGACAATTTATGAGTTTGATTTCTATTTCCAGTTTGTGAGTTCAGTCCCCAGCTGCTTCATAGAAACTCAGCATCATAAAAATAAAACTGCCAACAGGATTAAAAACCTCTTATAGAGAAGTGCATTGTCCGAGCTCAAAGCACATCTGGGCCTCACTGGAGTTGTGCCAGCATACTGTGTCGATTCGGAGTAAACAAACCAAAAAAACAACAACTCTGTAGCAAAGGAAGTCTTGATTTTTCTGCGAAAATACAAAGAATGTGGGCCACACAGTCACATGACTCTTACTCTCCAGAAACAATATTAAGCAACTGTTGGAACTGAGTAAATCAAGCTTTTGTTGCACAATATACTAAGTCGTTTACATGTGTAAGACACTGATGAGCAGCACGTCTCAGTCTCGTGTTCCACACGAAACAAAGTTTTCTAGCTGCACTTGCAGGCACGAATAATGAGAATTGGTGATAAAAAACAGTCCAGCACACAATCAGACAAAAAGAAATAAACTCAGCAGGAGATCATTGCATGATTTCAACTCCTGAGGGATTTATTTGATCCCTTGAACAAATTCCACCAAAAAGGGATTTGCTTGATCTCACCATGTTACAAGTTTAATTTTGTTGGTAAAGATGATATCAATATTAGCTCAGTGACTTGACCTTGTTGGCCTCTTATCTCAATGTACCTGCATGAACGAGAGGCAGAGAGGTTGTAGAGGAGAACAACTACTCTGTAACAACAGTTTTTAGTGTGCATTTTGTGCATTGGATCATTCTAAATTGTACAAAGGTGCCAAGTGGATAAACAGGTAATAGATTGGAAAAGAATGTGAAGTACAGCAAAGCTGAAGCATCTTTCACACTCATCGAAATAACTGTGAACTGAGAAAATCAAAGACTCCACAGCAGAATTGAAAGGCTTCTTTGAAGTGCATAAATCGTTTCTCAGAGCAGGGTGTGTGGTTGTTTGTCTCTGTGTGGCCCTGCGATGGACTGGCAACCTGTCCAGGCTGTGCCCCGCCTCTCGCCCTTTGTCAGCTGGGAGAGGATCCCTCTGGGAATAAGCGGCAGAGAAAATGGATGGATGGCTGGGTCTCTCAGAGCAGCTGATCCATGAGAGGAGGGTGGATCGGTCTGCTGGACACACCGCTCCATCCCTAATAGGCGATTGGAGTCTTAAAGGTGTTGAATCAGCAAGTGCAATTATGCTTGCAGGATGCCAGCGGGTCTTCCATAAGTGCGCTCAGAACAGGGACTGTGCTGCCATGTGCTCATCCCAGTTCAGGATCAATGGTCAGCTTGGTTAAAAACAGAGGAAGCAGCACTGCTCTCTCCTGCCTATGAATAAGATTTTACAATTACAATATTGCCATAAACAATCACTATGCACACTCACTGACATGGTGCATTTGGAATCGCAAGTTTATCTGAAAGGCATGTTTTGGATGCTGGGTGGGGGGTGGAGGACCCAAAAAGAAGCCACATAGGATATGTTATCACATTATCATATGTTAACATTAACACAAAATGAACCCAAGCAAATAGTTTTTGACATAGACAAAATTACTTTTACTGGTTATTGCTTGAGCATTGAATTTGTGACCTGGGTACAGTTAGGCTTCCATACAATCTAATTCTAATCCTGAAAAAGAGCCTCAGTACAGGAATCCGAATCAATTAAATTAAATTAATTAATTAAATTCAGAACATGCCAAATTTTAGTGGCTTGATCCCACTATGATATTTAAGAGCAACTTCTACAAACTGTGAAGTAATTATCAAAATCAACACTACTCTAATCAAGCACTGGCTGTGTTTTGCATTACCTATAATATAATATAATATAATATAATATAATATAATATAATATAATATAATATAAAATAATATAGTTGGAAATAAAAGATTGGAGCCCATTCTGTTCATAACTAACACCGCTCACTCATCTAAAAACAAAAGATCAAAGAGGGGAAAGAAACGTACATTTTCAAGTCACACAGGGGTCAATGATTCCAATGTATCATGAAAGTAAATCTAATCTTTACTGAGGAACTGCACAAAGCACATTAAGTGTCAAGTGTTCTGTTCTGCTAATCAGTAAGAAAAAAATTTAATTTGGTGGTATGTGCTCATGATGAGCATATAAGAACATTTTTAGCCTGTAAATAGGATAATTACGAGTCAAATATTTTCATTTAGAAAAGTCAGTTACTTTGTCTAAAAAAATTATATTTAAGACAAAATCATCTATTAAAAAGAACACCTACAATACAAAGTAAATATGTTAACTGACCATTTTTGTAAACACTAGGAATGACTTATTGGAGGGAAACAGAATTTCTGCAGCGTTGCAAATGTTTATATCACCATCTGGTGGTGAATTTAATACTGCAAACATATAGAGCTATATGAATATCATGCTAATGTATATCTATATCTATCTATTGAGAGAAAGAGATTTATATGCACATGTATAGAGTTGCGCAACATCTGCATGCATGAGTATAAAAAACCCCAAAAAGTTTACATTTCTGGATTTTTATTAAATGTTTCAAATGTTAGACATTGGTTTCCTATTGTTTGCACTGTGAAAGCAGCAATCAGGTTGAGTTCCTGTAAAAAGACAGCATGTCCTCCAGATTCTGAGGAATGCCTGGAGGTGGAGGCTGACTCGGGCTTTGTTGTGCAGGCGGGGCTGGATACTGGGGTGGATACTGGGCTGAATACTGGGGTGGACACGGGTACGGATACTGTGCGGGAAATGGAGGAAGGACGTGAGGTGGACCTGCAAAATGTGCAGGAGGGGGAGGATATGAGAGATAAAATGGAGGAGGAGGAGGGTACTGGAGATGATATGGGGCAGCTGGTTGGGAGCTCTGTGCAGGTGGTGGCTGTGAAGACGGAGGAGGAGGTGGCTGTGAAGACGTTGGAGGAGGTGGCTGTGGCTGAGGAGGTGAAGTAACTGTTTGAGGTTGTGGCTGAGGCTGAGGTTGAGATTGAGGCTGAGGCTGAGGTTGAGATTGAGGCTGAGAGTCTTCCTTGATTTCTGAGATTTCTTCAGAGAGGTTTGTTCTCTTGAAGAACATGTATGATTTCTTCTCCTGATTCTTAGCCCTCCCTGGGGCACTTCTCCTTTCGTCAGTGAAGTATGCAGACGGAGGGGCAAATTCTGTGTCCCGCTCTTCTCGAAGGCGAGTTTTCCAGTCACTGAACATGAATTCTGAAAGACAGTGTACAATAAGTGGCTACACAGATATCATCATAACCCTTAGAAGGTATTCCAGACTGACAACAACTTACAAACTAATAATAAGACAGAAATACACAGTGAACAGTGCTCTCAGATTGGGGAGTCAGTATATTTTTCTTTTCTTTTTTTTTTTTTTACATCACTCAGGCCTACCTTTGCCCCTGTCCCATTCTCTGACATGAGGAACTCCTGGTTTGGTGTCCCTCCTCTCCTGAATCTCCACTTCCACCTTCTTCACAGTGCTGACCTCCGGGTGCTCATCAGGCAAGGGCCCCATTGTTTCAAACTCATCCTCTTCCTCTTCCATTCCTGAGAAAGAATTCATCACAAGCTCTCATTAACATGAACTGCAGCCTGCGACTGCACCGGTAACACACCTCAACTCTCACTGCATCATTTCAAACAACCAGGTGGGTGTGAGTTCTCACCTGGAGTCTGTTCTTCACCCTCCTCTTCCTCTGTGCCATCCGGTTTAGCTTTCTTCATCTTCCTCTGCCTCACCTTGGCTAATCGAGCTTTCAAGATGGCTTGCCTTTTCTCTTTCAGTCGTTCTCTCTTAGTGCGCTGATCTGTTGTCTGATGGACACAATCAGGGTGGAAACAAAGCAGAAACATTTGCAATCTGTTCAAATCCAAAAATCAGTGGAGCTTTACATGTAAAAAATAATCAAACCAGTACATTGGATTAGAATGAACTTGTCACAAAATAAAGTATACATTTAAGACAATTGTCTTTTACTATAGGGAATAATTCCTTTAGTAATTCTCTCTCTCATCCTGGCCTCACTTTCGTCATCTATCTAACCATGAGCTACTCACCTGGTCTCTGAGCATGTCCAAAGTTTCTCTCTGCTTTCTGCGCTGATCTTGATCCTGAGAGAAAGCATAATAGCCCACACCAAGTTCTCGTGCCTCTGATATGAAGAAGACAAAAAGAAAAAATTGTTTACATTTCGTTTTAATCAATTCTTTTTAAAGAAAACAAATGTGGACCCCACGTTAAAAATGTGGAGAAAAACAAAAGTCTTGATGTGATGCTGACCTTGTGCCCTAATATCCTCAAAATGGATTGGTCCAATAGGCTTCTTCATAGCCTCTTCTTCCTCCTTCTCCCACTCCTGTCTCTGCAGCTCTTTACGCATGTCTTCTGAGAGTAAGGTCTTCTCAGATGAGGTAGTCCTATTGTAAACAAGCATAACCATGAGTTAAAGATCATAATGGGAAAAAGAATGAGAAGTGAGAAGAATACCTGTATAAAATACATACACTAGAACAAAATACAACATAGTTTACAACACATTCTCTATACAATAAACAAGATATTAAAAATATCTGTGCCCCTCCAGTGACATCTTGTTTTTCCTTAAAAAGCAAGCAATATGAAAACAAACACAAACATATTTTGTCCTCTTACCATCTCACTAATCACAATGCAACCTTAATCAGTTCTTCTTTGACCAGGCAAAAATATTTTCGATGCCTGAAAGTTTCCTTATCAACTGCTAATATGAGCAGACTTTTTGGTAGCCATTGAACATAAATACCCTTTTCCTTTAAAATCCAGGTCCATTCTCTGAAAATTGGGCAAGTCTTTCTTCATGCATCTTCGCGATCGGCCCAAGGCGTCCACAAAGTCAACCCTGTGGAGAAACAGCAGGTTATTAAATGTTTCAGCTTGAAATCTACAAGGCTAAATTAAGTTGCTAAATGAAGTCTGTGTCACATTTGGTTAATTTATATTTCAGCCCTTATAAAAACAGAAATATTATCACTATTTTCATGTAAATTCAGAAAATTAAAATGCTACATTACCATTCCTCATCTGGGTTCTCAGGAGGAGGAATGGGTAACAGGCTCTCTCTTTCCTCATCCTCTTTCTCCTTCTGTTCAAATGCTTCTCTCTTTTTGTCTATAATCTTCTGGGTGAAGTCAACAAGGTACAGGCCCTCCGTCTCTTCGTCTGATGCAGAAGAATACAAACTCAGCTCAGAGCAACAACACTGCTGTAAATCTACACATCATGCAGGTCAACAGCCCCACAAACCTGGAAAGTCTCCTTTGGTCATTTGGTCATAGAGCCTGGCCTTCTCCTCCAGTTTACGCCTGTTGGGATGTGAGAAATGAAGCGTCAGGTGTTGAGTCTTTCCGTGTGTTTTTGACAATAAACCTCAGGTACTTTTTGGCTCACCTGGCCGTGTCCAGGCTGACCCGCTCCTCTGCCAGCTGCTCCGCATCTTTGGCTGCTCTCGCTGACACGCCGGCATTTTGTTTGGTCCAGATATTAGGTTTCTGCTGTAGGTTAGCGGAGAGAGCAGCGTCACAAATCTCGTGTATTTCACTTGACAAACATGTATGTCCAAGCATAACTCATCCTGCACCTTGTCTGTGGATTTGGCTTTGAATCCACCATCAACGTTTTCTTGGCCTAGTTTCTCCCGTTTGAACTGCTCCTGTTTTCTGTACAGTTCAGCTTTAAGGTCAACCAGCTGCAAGAAAGAAAAGGTTTGTAAAATCAAGTCATTCCTCATTATTGTTACACTTGAGAACCGGACGTTTCATTAGAAACCGTAAACCCCGAAGGACAGATAGCTAACTTTGTTTTTGTTGTTCAAAAGCGCCAAGTAGTCTCATAACAAGAGCTAAATCATGATAAAGTTTATGTTCAAGTAACTCACAGATGAAGCTGCCACGTTCAACGGTTTCTTCTTCTTATCCATATTTGAGACTTCTTTCTCAGTATAGTTAAACCTGCTGTCGTTTTAGCATGTTAGCCGTCGACTTCTTCGTGGGATTATTTTCGAACTGCCTGCGTGCTGCGTCACCGCCAACTAGTGGCGAAAATCCGCTCTGCAGTGTTGTCTTCGCAGCATATCTCCATATCGTCGCTCGTACTTTTTCAGCTTTGAATTTAAATGTAATGATTAACTGACACCACTAGGGGGGACGGTCTGACAAATTAAGTGAAAAGTGTGTATAGAACTGGGAGCTCAATGACATTCAATCATTGGTGAACCTGTTTATTATTGATATTATCAGAATAAGCAAAGGGTATGAATTACATCAGAGAGTCAAGTTAATCCTCATGGCCATTTTTAATTAATTTGAAACTAATTAGGAATGAGAAAAGGAGGATAATTTGGACATGATCCAAGGCCCTAGACCCAGACACATTTTTATTTATTTCCACTATTTACAACTAAAGTCATTTGAGGTCAAAATATCCTGTCAGTTGGTCAGAATCCTTGTCCTTACTCTGATGTGTGCACCCATGGGAAATACACGTCTAATCCTTAAAGTTTATTCTCATCATTGCTGACTCAGTAGGGGAAAGCCTAATGTAAAATAACAGTAATCTGATATACATTTGGCCCATTTACACAAAAAAGGGGGGGGGGCTAATTTAAACCAGAAAAGAACGTCCTGGATTTTACAGATTCAGATGCACCTGAAAATTATGCCTCATCTCTTGAATGTAATTAGCCTTCTTATGTTTGTGTGAAGTGCGTTTGAAGGAAAAATAAAATTACATTTAACTTCTGAATGCATTTCATATCCGAGGTGCTGAAATGAAGGTTAAACTGCTTCGCTACCAATAAAACTACAAATGAATACCTAAATGTTCGTCTGTTCAACAGAAACAAACTTCCTAACAGGCATGGCTGCATAACAACTCATCCAAATCTCTGGAACTAGGTCACACAGTATGAGTGCACACCTCTCTGATGAACACTGGAACATAGAGTACTCTGACCTACATTCTTTAAGGGACCAAAAGCAAGGTTTTATCAAAACCTGACAAAATGGAAAACATGTAGCTTGACATTTAATTCGCTGAATCAGATGGACAGGAGACACATCAACCCATTTACCATTAATAAAACACTCTGACCACGACAAGCTTTAAGCACCGGGAAATACCACAAATCAAATCACTCCCTAAATAAAAAGCACTCACGCCGAATACGTGAGCCGAGAAAGGCGGTATCTAAAGGCCGCTATCTGCAATAAAGACACCTGCTAAGATCCATTTGCCTTTGTAGCTGCTCCCCCCAGCAGCACGTAGTCACACATTTATGAGTAATCCAACAAAGCAGATCCTGATGAATAAACAGGAAGGGTTTATAACTTTTAATACATCCCCACTGCATCGAACCAAACTAGGCTGCAGGTAAGGTGGACAAGAAAAACACCAAAACAAACAAAAAAAATATTTATAGCTTCACAGCAAAGCCGAATCAAACCCAAACGCTGCTTTTGAATTAACCTGCATGAACAATCATTTCAAAGCCAAATGGATTGTTAAACAATTCTACAACATCAACTCGGGAGTCTTTCAGTTTGCTTAAAATGAGACTGCTCTTTCTTCCTTTCACAACGTTTTTGCAGGATTAAATATTTAGACCAAAAAGCTGCTGACACAAAAAACACAATCTATTTCAATTTTGCCATGCCAGTGTTTCCACTTCATCTGCCAACATCATATGCCGTACAGCTGGGTGGTGTTTTTGCGGATGGTGTTGAGCACCGTAGCCATGTCCTCCCCCTTTAGCCAGCACAGCTCCTGCAGAGTATGGATGCCCATTCCGGGGTGTGAAAAGCGGCAGACATTTTTGCCGACCTGTTGAGAGTGCGACAGTCAAAAAGATGGCTACAGCTTAAACAGAGCAGTGTTGTGAGTGGTACTGCAACACACAGCCTAGAAAAAAAAACTTTGGATTTCCTGAACATCAATTCAAACTTACCTGTCGTGGCACAAAATAGGGCGCATCAGTCTCCAACACGATGCGGTCGAGAGGGATCTGGCGGACAGCATTTCGTGCCTCGGTGGCGCTGCTGTAGGTGATCAGAGCTGTGAAACCCACATACAAGTTGGGGAATTCTGTGAGGAAGGGCTCAATGACTGGATAGCTGTTTGTGAAACAGTGCCTGGAGCCACACCAACACCAAAAGAAAGAAAAAAATACAAATTAATTCATTCTCAAATAACTGATCTGAAATGGCACTAAGAGCAAGTGTCCTTTATTGTTTTTCTCATCACCCCATAAGAGAGCCAGTTGCATGCAAGTACATGTCTAAAAAGTAGGTTTATGCCAAACACATGAACCTGAGCAGTGATGACATGAATAGGGCAGTTCTTCTAACTGTTACAAGAACATACAACTAATGTTTTAATAAAAGCTTTGAAGCCAAGTTTGTTTTTTAAGTAAAACAGAAATATGGAGTAACCTGTAACTCAAATGTAGTCAAAAACTGTCAGGATGGTTTTTGCTTGCACACACCTGTGAATTTTGTGTTCTCTGGGAACACACCTCTTCATGATTTCCAGCAAGTCGTCATCTGCGTCTCTGCAGTGGATCACCAGGGGCTTCTGCATGGCCACGGCCAACTGCAGCTGACGCTCAAACACCTTCACAGGACAGCACATCATCCCAAAAGGGTTGAAACTTAGATTTTTAATTTAGCCGCCAATGTTTTACTATCTGTTGTTGTTATGTTAGACTATCTGAATAAAAAAGGTGAGCTCTGATACCTTTTTTTGCAACGGGGTGTTGGTTGAGTTTTTGTGGGAGTAGTCCAGCCCCATCTCACCGAACGCCACGGCTTTTGGATGCCTCATCGCCATAAGTATGTTGTTCTCTTGAACTTTTGAGTAGTTTTTGGCAAAATGGGGGTGACACCCAAATGCCCCCCATACCATGTCTTCAGCCAGCAAACCTTCCCACAGGGCCTCCTTCATCATGATGCCTGGGTTGCAGAAGTCTGTGATGCAGCCCTGAAACTCTGGGGTAAAGCTGCTCTTGTAATGTTTCCGAAAACTGCTGAATGTTCCGCTGTAGCCCAGTTTACCATACAGCATGTCTAGGTGGCAGTGCGTGTCAATGAAACCAGCCTGACTGTCGCAGTAGGAGTGACCAGTCCACAAAGGTTTGGCGCCCAAGGACAGTCGTCTCGTAGGAATTACACTGCTGGGTGAGAGGTGGGAGTGGGAACCTTTCAGAGATTCACCATCGCTCCGCCTTCGTCGCGCCGAAGAGTTCGAGGAGCTGTTTGAGTGCAGTGGCAGAGCAAAAGGATCCAATAAATTGGCATTGAATGATGAGGAAGACGTCTGAGACCCGGCTCTAAATAAATTTGAAGACCCCGTGCTCTGAAGGTGGGTCTGCTTACATGAGAAAAAAACTGATCTTGGCGAGGTTGAAAAGATTGTCTCTGTGTCCTCAGTAGCAGTCTGATTGACCCCGGTGGCCTCCGGGGAGTATATCAGGGGGACAGAGGAGGCTGAAGCACCCTGAGAGTTCACAAAGTCAGACTGTTGGTGTGGGTTGTTCTGATGAGTCATGGGGGAAAACAAAGAATCTGGAGTATACTGCAGTGAAGGTATGGAAGAGTCACATTCTTTAACTTCCAGCTCATTTTCTGGGGCAAATAAAGCACTTCTGGAGGTCTCTCCACACACAGGATCCTGGAAAAAAAAAGTCATTTGGGGTTCATTTTCTGGTTGCTTTTCCATTCCAAAACACATGATAAATTGATCTGAAAAACATTAACACTAAATTAAATCTGGGAACTAAATTGTGGCACAACGCTTTTTGTTGGTAAATCCAGAGAAAGGTGTTTTGAGCATGAGGACACTTACCCTTCTATTTGCTTTTGGTTCACAATCTTTATCTTGGGAATTTATCTCAACCAATACCTGATGGGGAGAGCTCCGATTCTCCCCAGGAATAGAGCTGACATCCTTATACTCCTCAGAACTCCTCAAAGAACTATAAGTATCCACAATCTTTCTGTCAAGGGAATCTGGACTGGACTCTTGAGCCTCACCAGGGGAAGATGCAAGTGGCAAAGGCAAAGTCTTGTGGGTTTTAGTAGGGCGGTGCTTAGCTGTGGTGTTTCCAAAGGCTGCAATCAGTGCCATCCTGCAAATAGCCTTCAATCCCTCTTCAGGCGTCCTCTCTTTCTTTTTCAAGATGAAAGAGTGAGAGGCTTCCTGAGGTTTTGGGGTTTCTTGCTGCTCAGGTGATCTTTTCATGGTACTGTCCTGTGTTCAATGGGATCAAATCAGTACTTGCCCAACAGATTTGAATTCACATTTGATATATTACATTGATGTGTTAATAACAAGAAATGAATATATGAGCCAAAAACAACGGTTAAGATTTACCTTTAAATTTCTGAAAATTTTTGAATTTTCCCTGGAGAGCTTCCTCAGCTTGACTTTGCCCAAAGAGTTCACATTTCCAAACAGATCCTCTGCTTTTCTCTTGGGGGTGTCCAGACTCAAAGCTCCAAAGACCTCAGATCCTGGAGAGTAATTGGCAGGCGAAGTACTTGTAGGATCAGTTTCTGGTGTGTTCCTTTGAGAGGGTGTGCTTGGTCCAGCATTATTTGCTTGAGGGTTTGTGGGTGAAGATATGGCCGTATGGAGCCAATTAAATGTCACCTTCTTTCTTCCGCTGTCCATTTCTGAGATTATGACACACATTTAGAAAATTGTGAGTAGCTGGGCTGTCCTATACGTTACAGGTTAGATTGACGTACACTACAAGGAGTACAGCATATGCCCCTACGATCACTCCACTAAATGTACAGCATTTTGGGAGTTTATGGATTTTTTTTTCCTGTTTTTACCTGAATTTATTGGTGATCATGATGTTGGATCAATTTTATCTTAATTGTCTTTAAGCTGGCGTCTGTAATTATGCCTAGACTTTTTATTTAGTTATTTTAGTTCAAGTAGAATGTTGTACAGCAGAATCATTTCTCTATCTATGGAAAAATTCAACCTGGATCTGCAACTTTGTGGAGATATGGAACTAAACCATGTGAGGTATAAACCTACCCTGTTTGGACGGCCCTTGGTATCTCATTTTGAAACCCTGATTAAAGGGAGCACCCGTGACGAAGGAAATGTTGTGAACATTATATTGGTGACACAAATACGGAACTATTTGGTGATTTTTTTCAACGTTTGTTTGAATTCAGGGTTTGACGAACCGTTACACCGAAAATGCTCCAACATGGCGACCCAATCCGTTAGTTAGCACTTAACCTGTCTGCGAGCTAACAACCCATTTTCACGAAGACTCAAAATGCGACTAAAATGTTCAAACCAAAAGGTAATTTTAGCAGCCACATTGTTATAATAAATGTACTTTTATTTATCCTAAATATTGGCTAGGTGGTGAGATAGCCATACTGCAACATTTCTTTGGTCTACCTGATAAGTTACCTTTCGACTTCAGCGCAGAAGAAATGGTGAAGGTGCAAGGGAGATTAACTGAAATGTAGTAGGACTCCGCAAATCTCTATTAAGTATCCTAAAACAAATGTGCCTTGATACTGCGTTAACATAAAAAAATAGATAAAAACTAAAATGTTTAAATGTGGTATCAAATTCGAACATTTGACGAACCGCTAGATGGCAGTAATATTATGTCCTTTTGAAACCAATGTTCCGGGTCTCGCGAGAACGAATTCAAAAGGGAGATTTTCAATTGGGGGGAAAATCTACGCCTGTTCTTTCAAATCTGAATGTCTTTTAATACAGCGCAGGTAAGGGGTCATTTTTATAAACCTCGTGAAGTAAGAGATTACACAAGAGTATGAGAAGCGGTCTTCATAGCATATAAGCACGTTTTATAGTCGACAACAGGAAAGGTTTTGCTGATTTGTATAAACAAACAAGATCTGAATAATGAAATATGGCCAAATTTGTAATAGAAAATTTGTGTTAATAGAAAGAAGAACTACATACATACTACATACCTTTAGTGTATCCTTAGGAATTGTTTTTCTTGAAAAAGCTGTGTTTTCTTCTGAAGATATGCAGTTCTTTGAATTGACGGTTTGACAAGGGGCTTTATGTACTTGACTGAACTTTTTGTTGCTTTGCAAACGTTTAAACTTTGCAAATAATCAAAAGCAAGCTTTGTTGCATGAAACTGAATATTCTAAAAGCCAGTAGCAATTGACACATTCAGTAACAGTGTGAGGAAAGTGAAAGACTGTTACTTCATAATTCTGCTTGTAAACTGAGAGGTAGGGCAAACATTTCTGTCTTATTACTACACTGATGATCCTTGTTTTGCTGCTTGCCCATCAAAGAGGTCTACACCAGTGTTAATTATGTGAAGTTTGTGGTAGGTCACTTGTTGATGTATCACACTTTAAATTTCCTGCCCACTCCATTCACAGTATTATATATAACATAAGCTGAAATCAAATTCATGTCAGTGAAAGTAAAACATAATAAATAATCCTTCATCAAACCAAATCTCCAGCAATTATCAGAGCACCCTTTTTTTCAGGAACACTGTAATGATTATCATCTTTTTGACATGTAGATTTTGTTTGTACCAATCCGAGGTATTTCATCAGAGCATTTCAAGGCTATCCTCCAAAGAAAAAAAACAAATATCTCTTTTATTAGTAATCACATATTGATAATGGTAGTGTACAAAAGAGCAACAATGTACAAATGAACAATTGTCTGAAGAAAGCCGTCCAAAACAGGCAAAAACAAAGGAACAATCTCCTCAGTCACACTGTTCCGCAGCTTTATCCTTAAATCAGGAAATTATCTTTTAGCTGGAAATCAGTTGGAAGTCTAAGTTTTCAACACCAAGCTCTGAAATGTTTGCACCCATAAGACCGTCCCAAACAGGAATATATATCTCTGAACTTTTAAATTTAACAGTGTACATTTTTAAGGGCAGAATGAAAGACATGACATATTTTTTATATTTATGTACATATTTTATATATAGTTTGTTTAAAATATATTACATATGACAAGTTGAAGTGAACATTAACTTAAGACATTATCTGAATAAGCTGAACAGACTAAAGTCTCCTTTGCAGCAGATGAGCAGGTCTAACATATCTGAAGTGCAAATCCAGCATTTGGATCTGCTATCTTCTTTTACAACCTCTCTCTGAGTCGTATCAGTTTCTGCTCCTCCATTACAGTAATGCTGTCCATATGTTATAAATGTCCATAACATTTCAGCCTCATTCCTCCTGGCCTTGGATTCTTTCCAGAAGATGCTGCTCAACCCGCTGGTTCATCTGCCGGAGATCCTTCAAGAAGCTGGGCTGATCTTCGAGCTCCTCGTGGAGGCACCGTGCAATTTCCAGCTTCCTGTAGTCCTCTGGTCGCACGAGACGGCGAACAGCGTGAAGAGCGCGCTCCTTCAGACTGTCAACTGTGAGCCAAGGAAATGATTGTCAAAGATTTAAAGAATGATTTAACAGAAGTGGAGATAAACACTACTGCCCTCCACATTTACCAATGCTCTTTTTTAATTAAACCAAACGTTTTATGTAAACAGATATTTTTGTGGGAACCAGCCAGCTCTATATTTTGTCTAGGCGAGGTGGATTGGAGAGGCATTTAGGAGCTATTCAAGCTTAAACTATTAGCATCATCAGATATATTAGCTCTGAAGCTAAATGGAAAAATTCTTGTGATTTCTTTTTATGGTAGCCTGCTGCTATTCTAAGACCCCACACCAAAAGCAGTTTGCCATTTTATCGAAATGTACAGACATATTATTTTAATCAGAGAGTCTGTTCATTCTCGGATTTTATTAGTGATTTCATTATTCTTACCTGGTAAAGTTATATTGACAAAGACGTCTCCACCATCTGTTGGTTTGGGAAGAAACAGCTCTTTGCCGTTTACTCTCAAAGGTTCATCTCTCATTGCGTCTCTGAACATCCATGGGTGACCTGGGACGAACACACAAGGTGTGTGAGGTTTACACCAGTGAGTGTGAGGTGTGGCTGAATTATTCTAGTTTTTCCCAGTCCTAAATAGAGTAATGTTGGTAATGGCCCACCCTGTAGTGACAAACACTGATCACTGATGTTAGGAGAAACTCGTTCATTTCCATTTATCTCAAGACAACC